CTACCCCTGCTGGTCCTGGGACCGCCAAAAGGAGTTCACAGAAGTCAAAACGCCCACATGATGGTGACGGTAATGGCGATGGTGAGATTCTATTTAAACTCTGATGTAGTACGTGAACACGCTAACGATAGTCGCTGCAATAGACGAGGACCTAGCTCAACCGAAAGCAAAGAAGAGCAAGAAAGTCAATCAATCTCAACTCTCTGAGCTTACCAACAGGACGATGGATGTCGACAGTGCCGGGAATTCAGACGAAGAGCTTGAGAGGGAGATAGGTGCGAGTCCAGGCTGTTACTCTCCTACATGATCTGAATGATAGCAATGATTCAACAGCTCGCCTCAAGGCCATCAGGGCCCAGAAGCGCACGGATGCGGCCCATCGCAAGACTCCCGGAACCGGTAGCTCTAATGCCAACAAGCCTGAGAGGAGCGTTACTGCTGGCAAGGCTGCACAGAAAGCAACACTTACCAATGCCAAACCGGTGGCTACAACTCGGAATCCTCTTGTTACTGGCCCCATCATGACGGCTTCCGGCAAACGCAAGGAGGCCATTGAGAAGATTCCCAAGCCTGAGGGGTCTCCGGGGGAGAGCGAAGAGAAGGGTGGTTTCAATATCCAGATCGCCGCAAGGGTTGACAACGATGACGACTGGAATGAGTTTAAGGTGAGTCGTCTTCTACTACTCGGGTCTGCGACGTCAACAACTTTCACTCCAACACAGAATCTCCTCCATCAAGCGTGTGCTGAGGCACATATCGATTTCACGCGTACTTACAAGGCCCAGGACCCAGACGCGCGCAAGCACGTTTGTCAAAAGGTATTTTTACGTCTATGTCTGAAGTATGGCATTGACATTTCCTTTAATCAGATCGAAAGCAAGTTGCCATATTTCTGCAAGGATCGCTTCGAAAACTACTGGGTCACGGAGGCCATGATACAGCAATACATCAAGAACGTTAGGAGGACTGCAGCTAGGAAGGCCCGCAAGCCACGCGAACCCGTCAAGCGCAAGGGTCGCTTTCCTGTTCTTATTGCGCCGAGGATCTATCAATCAGATGGTGAAGGGAACCATACCGTCATTGACGACGAGGTTGACCCGGGTGAAGAGAGCGACAGTTCAAACCACGAGGGGGTTCCGGAGGACCAGGATGAAGCCGGTAACGAGGCCAACATTGCGGATCCTTCGGACTCGAACTGAGCTCGAGGTGAGTGACTAAATCACTTGGGCTACTTTAACATGCTCTAACTCCTACATCATGAACAGGTTGTCGCATTGTTGACCTCTAAGCTGCTCACACACATCTCCCCCCCCTCTCCCCCCCCCCGAATGTTTCACCTTCTGTTCAGTTTGGATTTCTATTATTTGCTTCATTTCTCTATTTTTCAATAGTATGATGGACAGTTGTGCACGTGTAATATATGTGTTTATTGTGAATCCTACGATGACTGTTTCTCGCGAGTCCAACCCTGTTTGTCGGGCGGGTTCAATCCGCTTTATCGGGCCATTTCAATCCTGAACGGGCGAAAATACAACCCATGGCTAGGTGGAAAACATCCCGTTTCGGGATTATGTGGCGGTCATTTCGGGTGATTTCCGTCATGAAGACTCGCCCGCTTTAGGGCTCCTTTCAACCTCTTTCAGGATGGTTTTCAACCTCTTCCGGGGTGAACTCCGCCCAAATTCGGGGTTATTGCGTGGGCGGAGTTCACCCTTCGGGCGGTCCGTAGTGTAGGGTTGAAGGTTCTCCCAAGGCATCCGAGGTCTCACTCGGGGCCGAGCGCTGAGGCATTCCCTAGGTTTAGTCAAGTAGGCTTTCTAGCCCCCGGGTCGGCGTCTCCAGCCTCATGCAAAGTGTTGTAGTTGCGCGCCCGACATCTGTTCACGAATACCAGAGGTATGTAGTTGAGTATGTAGTTGTATTCCGTATATCGCAATCACTCATGAGTCACGTCGACGAGCCGCTCTCTCTGCTAAAGGCAGGAACCGAATGTCGACTTCTGACTCCTGAGCCTGGGGTTACAGGAATGAGGGCTATCATAGACAATGTCTCTCGATCTACCCAAAGCTTGATGCGTGAGTTATCATTCCAAGCTCAGCGAATCAAATCCGACCCAGAAGCCACGACATCTAGTGGGATCCACCATCAACATTCGATTCGACTCCGATTTTCAGTTGCTAAGCTCCACACCGAGGTAAGACCTCCTAACTTTGGCAAATATTCTCAGAGTTATTGACCGACCGATATGTCTTTGTATGTTCCTGTGCTGCTCAACTCCGGGTGTTACTCAACGTGGATTCTGATCGGCGGTGAATTGGGCCTATCCTATCCATAAGTAGATAGCAACATAGGCTCGTAGTACAGACAAATATTGACCATTCAAGCGAGAAATTAGCAGACACCCAATGCATATCTGGAAGTGTATCCGAGTCGCCACAACACCCGTCATCCCTTCCAGCAGTACTTTCATATCCAAGAGCTCGGGTCGGTTACAGTCGTGAAATGCGAGCCAGAAAATGTGAGAACAGTAGATATGGATATGTGTCGCTTTGAGTGTATCTTCCCCAGCCGTTGATCACAAACGTGAATGTTAGTTACCTTCTCAGAACATGATTCTCAGTGGTACTGATTTACTCAAACGAGGCACATTCTTTTAAAGAGTCATCTCTCGGACTCGAAGACCACCTGCATTCCCTACCACTTCAACCGATTCATTTGTCATTGCAGTCGGCTTCGTCTTTTATGGCGGAGTTGACACCACGTCAGGTTGGAGGGGGGGCTACGTCAAGCCTAGAAAGGAGTCACGAGAAAAGGGTCGCGTTAGCTCGGCGGAGGACGCGGTGGTCGAGAGAAGAGTCAAGACGGCCTGAGTGGATCGGCTCGTCCGACTGGTTATTCGCCTCCTGGCTGTTCGGTCGTGAAAGGTATTAATCGGCTAATCGGAAATTGGCATTCTCCGCTTGGATGACGTCATGCGAGTTCCACTCAAAATTTTAATCATCTCCCGAGCTTCCCGGGTTCCCCGCAAACTCTCAATATTCACTATTCAATCCTTTGGGCTCGGCACCATCGCCGACGTCATACAAGAAACGGTACTTAGACGTGCCTGTGCATTGCGCAGCCGCACATCAAACAAATCCCACTATGGAACACACCAAAACCTGCCCACACAACGAGCAATCACCACTCACACTAAAGTTCTCCGGGGAATCGACCAATGGCAGCATTCTCAACTGTACACTCTACTCTTCGAGCTCAGTCGCCCTATACCAAATCTCCACACCAGATACCCCGGCATCACGGACTACGATAAGGAGTGTACCCAGAAACGAAGAATTGGGTATTTTAGACAAGAACGGGCTCAATATCCATGGCAAGGAGTACTTTCCCGTAGGCGGGATTCTGGAACGGTTAGTCTTTGACTTGCTGCAAGTTTGAGCTGCTCGCTCTATGTTTACAACTCCATATAAGCGGCACGACGTTCAAATTCTCGAACAGCGAACGATACACCTGGAAGCATCACTCGTCGAGCGGGAAAGCCATTGTACGTTCAGATAATTTTGATTCACCCCATGCCCGCTCGGGTCTCACTCTCAGTTTATGTAGCTGACAACCTCGATCAAACCTCACGCGACAATCGCAACATATACCACTCAATACATCGACAATAAGCCACCTACGCTCGAGATCTCGGACCCTTTACCGGGACCCATAACAGACGAGATTATCGCAACCCTCGTATACACGGAACGTTGTCGACAAGATTCATACCCAACAAGGATCAAAAACTGGGTTTTGGCTCCCCAGCCGCGAGTGACAGGGAGAGGTGTTGGTTTGGATGTTGGATGGGCTTTTAGGTGGTGAGATTTGAAGGTAATGTGGCTCTGGCTGGGCATGAGTGGCTAATACAAGGTCAAAGTATTTGGTGCAATACGTCGATACTCCGGCTTGTGTATATTAATTACCACGCTGTTGCAATCGCGGGCTTTTCCCGACTGGACTTGTACCAGATCGAAACTCGCCTCCGTGGCGACATTGAGCTTTTCCTTAACGTCAGGGGATTCTCCAATATATGTTTGAGACTTGCAAGCCCTTCGTTAGTTCCAAAAAAGTGCACCCACAACCCAAGTGTGTGGACACAGTGGGAATTGAACCCAGCACCCCCGCACAAACATTGACACCTCCCATGCTAAGCGGATGTGATAACTACACCATGTGCCCATGATAAAAGCATACACTGTCTCCCGATCACTAACATTCAGCGAATCGATCCGCTACCATGAACTCACCAGGCGAGGTTTCCTCGAGTTAGTAGCTTCGTAAGCCTTTGAAGCCACAGACCTGAGATGGCCTACAGGTGACTGACCTTCTGGTTCCTGGTCTGCGCACACTAGATGGAGGGAAGGAACAAAATGGGACGTGGAAGGAGCACTCTGATGCTTCATGACGATTCTACGCGAATGCCAGCTCACGCGACTGTGTACAAATCTGTATCTCGGAGCTGGGGAAGGGAGGAACCAACCCATTATGATAAGGAAGTTTGAACAAGATCCGGGAAATCAGAGTAATCATGCTTTCGATAGATGTCGGGATAGGACGACCACATTGACAAATAAGCAAGCCATGGGCCGCGTAGGTATACTGGGAGTCTGAGTTTATCGATTTCACCGAGCAGACCGCTCAAGAATGAGGGAACCCCAAAATCAAGGACACACAGGAAGGTGCATGTCGAGTGAAAGTTCACACCGCGTACCCTTCAACAATAGTTGTATACATAATTGCTATCGGGATGAGCGGAATTCAACATATGGATCGACAGGATTTTCCTGAGGTTGTTAGAATCATCACGATCCCATGACCGTCCTTTTTCCTCAGCTAGCCCGGTATGGGTGCAGTTGGCTGATTTAAGTACTGGTGAAAGCAAGAATGACGCACATCCAGAACCTAAATTCAGCAGGTCCAAATTAAGCCTTCTCCGTGGGTACGAATGCTCAAACACAGCCTATAAAACTCCAAACCCCCCAAATCCCAACACAACCACCCATATCATGACTCCTAAAGGTAGCGACGACTCTGACTCGAAATCCACTGTTAACCTCATATTCTCCGAATCCCCCGATTCTTTTCCTGAGGACCTTAACTCGACAACGGTGACAATCACACTATCTACCGAGCATGACGATGGCTCGAAACCAGTGTACAAAGTCGTCACTAGTACTCAAACCCCCAGCCCTCTTACAACTATCGCAAAGGTCAACGATTCTGGTCAAGGTCAAGAGACGGAGACCGGAAGAATTGAATATGTCCACGGAGACGAGGACAAGTACAAGTTTAAGTACAAGATCCTCGTCAATAACACGGAGCTCGTACCCAAACACCTCGGTATGGGAACTCTGAAGGTCAAGACTGGAACAGGGTTTGTGTTCTCGGATGGAAAGACGTACGTGTGGAGGGAAGAGTCACATTTGATCAAGAAGAAGACAATCGAGGTCGGTGGTTCTTCCGTTTTGTTAACTTGGTTTTGTTGACTCCAATCTCGGCTATACTTCTTACCCGATTGCCGCTCTTGCCACAGCTTCATCCAGTCAACCCGGAAGACGACCATGGGGACGACACCTCTACCCGAACACTAGTCAAGACTGGGGGAACCATTGCTACGTTCCACCCCGACCACAAGAATCCTGTCCTATCCGTTCAACACCCGACTACTACTCCAACCATCGAAGAAATCCTCACCACGTTCTTCTACGTATACCTCCAACTCGAGTCTGGAGGTCGAACTCGACGAAATCATGATCCTGACGCCGAAGCGTTCGCTGTCAATGGGGTTGGTCACGGTCCATGTGAGTATGGATTACTCTTTTCTGAATCCCCTATCGGATACTCAGGTCTCGCTGACGGATTATCTTCTTAGTTATTTCGGTTTGAACTGTAGCTAAGGTGTTTTGAATGAGTTCGGGCTGCATTTGCTGTACATACTAGTATTATTGATTCGTGTTTGATTCCTTCTCAGGTGATATTTTAGGATACAATCCCTAGCGTGTAGCGCCGCGGTTGATGGCTATCAAGGCGTTTGTCGTTTGGAGGAGGAAGAGTGTATTACTCGGCAGGGTCCACGTGCTAAGATGACGTAGGTGCATAGCCTCTCTGTAGTCTTCTGGTAATGTGAATGATCGGGACCGGCGGCGTTCTATGAGGAACCATAGTATGATACGAAGAAAGATCAAGATTTTTCCGTTGAAGTGGAGGTGGGCTCATATAGCACGATGAGAATGTCACTCAAGCTTAATTACCTGATAACTTGACGGTTGTGACGCATGATCAAGGTTGACACGGAGAACGGCATGAGCATTGAGTACAGCATCTGACCGTCAAATATAAGATTGAGACCGCCGTTACGACTTGTCAGCTTTCTCGAACTAAATACGCCTGAAGCTACAAATCTCTGTCACCTATCCATAGGCAGATTGGCTATGTGTAACAACTCTGGATCCATCGACCTCATAATCACATCATCCCACTTCTACCGGGATTCTGGGTCGGAGACGACTACTCTCTCAACAAAGGATATACAGAACCAACAGAAACCGACTTATGAAGTCACGACACAAAGCTTCCAGACAAATTCGGATACCAATAGCTCTAGTCCTGCGATTGCGGGTACCGTTACGACTGTCACCAACCTTGAGCGGCACTCGGAAGTCGGGAGAATTGAATATGTCGGCCAGAGCGACTCTGACAACGCTGACCCCAAGGTCGCCGTCAATTGCAATGGCAAGGATCTCAAGCCAAAGCCTGTCAGTGTAGGGACTCTCAAGGTTAAGAAGGGGATGAGCTTTGTGTTCTCCGATGGAGTAACTTATGTTTGGAGGGAGAAGAAGTGGAAAGATCAGATTTCGGTAGGTTACCTTCTTCCTTTCAACGCGGTGTTCATCAATTAGTCCCGTCGAAGCTTACACAAGAAGACGGCTCCACCGACATCGCCACGTTCTACCCAACCGGCCATGGGGACGAGAAAGCTCCCGTCTTATCCATTCACGACCAATCCCCAACCACGACATTCACCGAGGAGGTGATAACGACGTTCTTCTACGTCGACGTATATGTATACGATCACAGGCATCACAATGCACGGAGTCAGGGTCTGAAGGTGCATGTCAATGCATTTCATATATTGACTTTTGGTGGGGGCCCAAATACTATGAGTGAGTATCAAATTTTGCTTCCGAAATAGTTCTGAGCTTGATCTACTCTTGCCACTGTAGTATCAAGACTCCCCCTTTGATTCCTGACGGTTTCAATGCCTAATCGTTGTTATTTTGATTGGCAGGTTATTATTATACAAACACCAAGCTATGATAATTGATCATTCGAACATTGAATGTAATGTTAATGATGTAGAGAACGGTATGTCGGCGGATTGGTTGTTGCGAGCTCAGCTGTGAATGAGCCTACGTTTGCGATGAATCTTGGCCCACGCCCTGAGCTCCAGAAGTGCTGTAGCTAATACTCTCGGTGAAAGATGTTCACTCTCCGATTAAGCGCCAGTGAACCTTCAACGGGCTCGCGCGAGGACCTCGTTTCTTACGCACCCTAAGTAAAGCATGGTCTAGAAGCATGATAGCAAGGACCCATTTTCAGCTTGCTGCGTCTTCAATAAAGATATCCAGTATTGACGTGTGAGAAGCTAGCTAATTGGTCGAGGGAAGACGCGCAGGCATGATGTCCGGATTCAAGCTCAAACGGCGCGGGTTTCGGATGTGCTTCGCGGTGCCCTCCCGAGCCTGAACAGAGCGAGCAGAGCATAGGAACAAATCACTTAGACCCTTTCCCAACTATGAGGAATACTTGACGCCTTGGCACAATCAAAACTAGTGATGATTTATTCGAATTTCGAGGTAAGTTCGCAGCTTATGGATCCAAGCACACTTGTTTCCCAGTCAAACGCGCTACAAAAGGATTCATACCACGCCTTCAATCAATACCTTGGACTCTTCATCCGGTACTATATGACTCGTGGGTACTTCCGCAGTTAATCCCGGCCCTTTGTCATTTTCTAGCGTAATACCTCCCTCATGGGCGGCTTTCTCTGGAAAAATGCTCGAAGCGACGAGATTCCCAAGGACTGGGCAAGCCTGACGCAGGGAGATTAGATATAAGATAAACCCATAACGACATGAGAGTTGAACCCACCAAGAACAAAGTGATGGATTTATAAAACTCGGACACCGATAAATGGAGCGCCAAAATCATGAAGAACACGAAAGGTCCGCAGACGAATGGAAGCCATTCGACGATATCATCCGTACGCCTGGATTTTTGCTGAGGCGCTCTTTCTACCCCCTCCCGTGAAGCATTCCGGACAAGTATCCTCTGAATGATGAGTGCTACAAATGATTGTCAAACCACGTTTTTCATCAATTCGTGAGCAGAGTTGCCTCTACCTGTGCAAGTAACACTGATCAAGGATTGCAAAACGTAGAAACTCATCACCGACATCCGCTTCAGATCGTCGCTCCGGATAATCGCCACCATCTGTTGAACCCCAGTAAAACGGCTTGAGAACGGCTGTTGCCAGTGCCGGGAATGTTTTGCCCGTGCTTCAAAACCTATATTGAGATACCAAAATCATAAAAAACAGACGAGAAATGGCCAAAATTTACTTTGGATGTAGCTTGACTCTCGAGTGTGACCGCCTTAGCGCCTCAGCGCTCGCCGCTCAGCCACCAGTGCGGTTGCAGGTAAAGCCTATCAACAGGAAGAAAAGTTTATATTTTTCACGCAAATGCTCGCATAGTAGGGAGAATTAGTGATATTGGTTGATATTGGGAGATCACAAGAGTCATCGTGTATTTCGACAGAGATTTTGAGTTTGCGACGGTGACAAAAAGACAGAGATGTATGGAAAGGAGAATGGTGCTGAACGACCGAACGAGGTGGTAGGAGAAGAAGTCGCGTCCCGGATACGCCGCCCATCAGCGGTTTACCGGATTTGGGGTGAAGTGTCCGCCACATGCCAGCTCGGCCTATGTCCAAGATCCAGATTGGGCACACCTCTTGCGTAGATAAGAACTTCCGGGACGAGGAGGATTAACTACATTGCAGTGACGCATGATCAAAAAGAGCATTGACAATCGATGCATGTTGAAAACAAGAGAAACTCACCCTCTATGCTATGGGGCCGAGCAACATCGTATGATATCAAAGGTGGGAGACCTTTA